GAATGTCTTCAAGAATATCATCAAGAATGCCATCAAGAATGCCATCAAGAATGCCATCAAGAATATCATCAAGAATGCCATCAAGAATATCATCAAGAATATCATCAAGAATATCATCAAGAATATCATCAAGAATATCATCAAGAACATCATCAAGAATATCATCTAGAATGTCATCAAGAATGCCATCAAGAGTGCCATCAAGAATGTCATGGCGATGTGAATGATTTGTTGGTGTCCGCAAATAATATTACAATCGAGCACGTATGTTATATGCTACTTGGAATGTGACTTCGAAACATCATTGTGACTGGTAAAGCAACGCGGCTGGAACATGAACGAAAATGACGACTGTCCTGACTCCAGAAGAATAAACGACTGTCCTGACTCCGGAAGAATGAACGTGACTGCCAATATGGCCACGACCGGAATACTGGCACGACTGGAGCATGGGCAGGACCGCAAGACCATGGCGTATGAATGCGCCCGGCACTTTGGATTAAACTATACAAGAACGCACATGCCGTATAGTCTCGAACGCACCAAGCGGCGAGGGAGGAGAAGTGAATTTAAGCGGGTCTCTGCCAGAGATTAAGGGACCGGCAGGCATTTCCAGGCCGCCGGCCGTCAGCCGTGGGTCGGGCAGCCGAACGTATGGAGGGACGCTTTGCTCAGGCCCATCTCCGTGCAGACAGAAACAGGCTCCGTGGCCAACGGCGAGTACTCGGCCGGGGGCGTGTACAACTGCTCGTTGAACAGCGCCGGGTCGTCGAAAAAGTCGCAGGCAAGGATCCTCTGGGCCAACTTCGGCAAGCCGATGCGGCGCGCGGGGTTGAGCACGAAGATCTCGTTGAGCACCTGGTTGAACTGGCGCAGAATGGGCAAGATGGAGCGGAGGAGGCTGCTGTCGTTGACGATGTAGTTGTGGAACACCTCCTGGCGGTCGTTGATGTTGGCGATGGGCCACGGGTTCTTGGAGCACGTGATGTTGACGAACAACACGCCCAAGGACCAGACGTCGCCGGCCAACGTCGGGAAAAGCTTGGACGCCAGCTCCGCGTGGGCCAGGCCGTCCGTCGCAAACTCCTCCATGTCTATGAGCGACTTGACGAGGCCGCACGTGTTGTAGTTGACGATCCGCTCGGGCGCCATGTAGAAGCTGGAGCCGCGGCACACGTTGCAGCAGATCAGGCCGGACGACATGGCCAAGCCGAAGTCTATTAGGAACACCTGGAGCTCCGCGTAGTCCACGGCTTTGCTGCCGGCCGGCCGCCGGTAGGCCGGGTCGTAGAACACCATGACGTTCTCGGGCTTCAAGTCGCAGTGGAACACGCTTTTCTGCGCACAGAAGTGCACCACGTCGATCAACTGGAGCATGCAGTTTTTCATGAGCAGCTGCCTGTCCTGGTGCGCCGGCGGCGCCAGGAACACGCGCCGGTCGATGATGCTCTGGAACAAGTCGCCCTGCGGGAAGTAGTCCATCAACGTCACCACGGCGTGTTCGCCGAGGACAAGCACGTGGTGGATCGTGGCCACGTTGGGGTGCTGGCGCACCTTCAACTGGAGGGCGATTTCGCGGACCGCAGCGATGTTGGCGCCTTCCCTCTCCACGGCCTGGAGATTGAGCACGCGGGCCTGGAGCAGGCGGTGGCCCGCAAAATACTGGCATATCCGGTCCTGGACATGTGCCTTGGCGTCCGTCCCGCGGGGCCGGGGCGTGGGGCTGGGCTCGGCCAACACGATTTTGGCGGCGTAGCGGGCGCCGGTGGCCAAGTCCCGCACCAAATAGATGAGCCCGAACGAGCCGGCGCCGATTTTCGTGGCGAAGAGAAACCGGCTGTTTAGCACGTATCCGTCGAGGGTGCCGTCTGCAGGCGGGTCGTGGGGAGACGGCGGCGGCAGGAGCTTCTTGTGGTCAAGAAGCGGCAACACGTGGAGTACCATGGCTATCTCCAGATTGGGCGACGATGAATACGCCGGTTGCAAAAGACCAGGCAAGGCAGGCCAAGGCAGATATATACGAGCGTTTGCACCGCCAGCACTTGGGAGGCAGGATCGATAAGGCCGTGCCGGGCGTAGCTAAGGGGCCTGGGTTCCGGTGCAGACTCCTGTCCCGTAAACTTTGCCTTTTCCAGGTGCTAATAATTGCTCAGAAGCCTCGTTGGCTTGCGAAAAAAACCGGCTCGATCAGGAAGGTCCAAGAGAATCGGCCGTGAGCACAGCCAGCCGTACAAGGACAAACAGGAGAAAAGAACAGAAACAAAAAGTCGGGGCTGGGAAGGTCGAGCGGGCGCCGGTTATGTTTCTTGGACAGACATCCAAATCTGCCGCACCAGCACGCTGCCAGCCGTGCGCACATATATATGGCGCTGCGAATAATCGTAAGGTTTCGCAGGACCCACGGTGTGTTTGGCCAAGCAACCGCGAAATACTCAGGCCTTAATTCCGGGCCGTCTCAACAATGCACGGGCTTTGAGTCGCCGTCAGGGGTCAAGAAAACCCACGATTCCAGGCGGCCAGGCGGGGCCTCGACGTGCAAAACTCGCGCCCGTGCTCTCGTGGCTTTTCTTTCGAAATAGAGGGCCTGCCCCACAAACAGAACCGCCCTTTTTCTGCCCTACGGCCCCCTCTTCCGCGGAGCTGAAATGGGGCCATTTCAGGCGGGTGCAAAAATAGCATAGCATCCGTATACAACGGTGGCCGCGCAGCCCCGCCATCACACCACTTTCGCCGGGCGCGGCTGCGTGCAGGACGGCAAAATCGCGTGAGCTTCCACAGCGCCCAAGCACAGATCCGCAGAACCCGCATGCGTGTCGCTTATAGGCGGCGGAATCTCAAAACACGCCTCACCTTTTGGCTTTATCTCCAAGACCAGAAGGCTTGGGCATCAATGGTTTTGGGTTGACCCGCATGTCTCTCGATTGCAGCGGGACGGACCAACGTGTACAACTGTGCTGGAGATCCTTGTGCTGCAAGTCCTGGGTGTCGCATAGGCGCTGTGAACCTTGCAGCCGCATGTAAGCTTACGCACTCTGACAACTTTGAGTTGATGCGCTTTGCGGGGAGCCGCGACATTGCTGCGCAGGCGTTTCTTGTCTATGTGAATGTCTGTGTCCATATTCTGTGTCCAACATGCTTTCTATAGTCTGTGCAATGTTCCGTCCCATGTTCTTCGGTGCGCATCATCTTGTCGAATATCTCGTCCAAGATTCTGTGTTACTTTGTGTGGCTTGCGACAAGCAACGGTGAGCCTGAGTTCGGGATTGCCTTCTCAGACCAACCCTATTTCTGCATTTGCAATTTGACCCCCTTGGAGGTTTTCACGACTCAGCGTAGTCACCAGTGCATTTCACATTCTCTTCATGAAACAGGAAAGAAGTCGGCCGGTGTAGACGCATGAGCTGTACCTGGTGGGAAGTTTGCACCCATTCTGTTTGAGCATACGAGCATGTTCAAAATGGCCCGGGGCGTCATGCCAAAAAAAGAAACCATGCTGTTTCCGTTTCGGAGGCCCAACTCTCTGCCCAACATCATATCCCACGACGTGTATAGTCCCCGGCCCCTAAAACCATTTTTCCAAAGCCCCGAGCTAAGTGACCATCAGAAGTAGAATATTGGGTCAATGTGTGTTGAGTCTATCAACCATCTGGGGCTGCCAAGACTTGATCTATGGAAGCCCACATCCTCACGATATTCTTTGGTTGCCGGCTGCAATTGCGGCCAACGCCGTCGCTTACTTTTTTGTCTGTACCAGGAGCTGGGTATTTCAAATTAACTTCTCAAACTTTCTTGTTTTTGCAAGAGTTGGATGGGAAAAACATGCTTGTTTGTTCGAGTGGGGTGTTGCGATGATGGAACGCAATCTCGTGGGATCCTTGATTTACGTCCGATGTTTGCCGGTTCTCGAGAAGAAACATATGGCTGATTCTCTGGGAGATAGACTCGAGCCGCCCTAACAAAAGCCTTCTCGACACAAGTGACATGAAAGGCACATACTCAGAAATTCGCACTCTTCTGGGAACATCATCCAAGCATCCAAGTTGTCTCATTGTTCACAAGGAATAATACGAAGATTTATACGACCGGCAGGTCATTCCCCATGAGGCCTGGCGACTCTGCAGGGATTCTTCTTGTTGAGCCAATAATGGAATATCCTTGAGAGCTTCGAAGTTGCTGACATCATTCCGGACAAAGATTCGCCGAGGTAATGTAGATGGGCGTTAAGGGGTGCTGGTATCTGGTCACTTGAGCTGACTTTGGGGTCTGCGAGAAACTGTTCAAGTTCTATCTCCTAGTCTGTCTTGACTTCATTTTGATTCGCACATACGGAGTTTAATAATATGGTATCAAATACGACCAACTCAAATCCATTTTCAGAGAATTAGTTCCTAAGAGACTTGACCCAATACTATTAGTAACCAGGGGCACGATGTTCGGTATGAACGGAAGGTAGTGAGATTCTTCCAAGTACTTCAAGGTAATATCTGCCCAAATACGCTAAGATATTGAGGGGAAGACTACTGAAGCATACTTGTTGAAAGAAGCAGCGCATAATACTAATGTTCTTTTTTCATGAACAAGACATTGTCTTTGGTTCAAAGCCCTTCTTCGGAGATAGTCTGTTATACTTATGACAGAGATCATACTGAGTTTTCTCAACAGTGAGATGAAAATATAACTGAACGCATGCATAATATCACCAAACAGACGATGAAACATTAATCAACATATATTCAGAATCGCACAATGGATTTAACCGGCCTTCAATAACCGGCAGTATCTCCATCATCAATCATACAATCTATTGATCATAAACTGCCGATATGTTTACCAGCAGCCGTCAACTTTTTTACCAGCCGTACGACACCAGTCTCGATAGTACGGTAAATTCCCGACCAACTGAGGAATTTACGCATTTAGTGATGAACGCTGACCCGAGTTATTACGCGGCTACACGATCTTCATACAAACAGCAGTCACGTGAGCAGGCCCGTGACTTTTCCCTCAATAAGCTTGACTCAGCAAAGACCCGCCCATTCCGGCAGTGGTCATGCATCAGCCATTCTATTAGGCGGTTCCAGGATACAACCGACAGTCTACAAGCGAATATTATTATATCACGATTCAATTTCAAAATCCACCGCAATAGCCCTAGTCGCAGAGCGCGCGGTTACATGCCTACACACAAGAACACCCGTGCATGTCACGGTGGGCCCCGGGGCTAAAAGAGGAGAGGAAAATTCTCCATCCGAAAACTCCTTTTTTCCTTAACGAGAAACGATGCTCATTCACTTTACCGCCCAATTGCAATGGACGACTGAAGGGGAAAGAGTAGCGAGAAAAATATTGTCGAAACACGTCTCATACTGAGCTGTCTGTCATATAGACAGTTTGGATTCTGCGTTTTCGGTACAACCAACTTTGGGGACGTTATTTGTTCTTGTGTGGATATACACAAGCAGGACGGCTCCATACTTGCTGACGTAGAAAAAAACGAAATAGCACCACCAACGCGGCAAGCCGTGCTCGTGGGCTATGCTGTCTTTGTGTGTGGGCTCGAGTTACCCTCGGTATACGCATGTCCGTAGTATTGTGGTCTTGCGATGCATATGCAGCTTTTTCGAGATTAAAAAACCCAAAGGCCATAGTTCGGAGTGTGTACGATGTATCGTCCGTGTGGCTGCACGGCTCCAACTACCGATGGAAGGGAAGGGCTCGCAACGTTGGGCTGATTTGATCGAAAGTGGAAAAGGGGCTATCCGCTTCAGCGTGCCCATACCACAAGTTTCAGACTCCTGATTCATGCTGACATGTCCAGAATGTCGAATGCCAGGCAGCGGGACCTGGGTGGCAGGCGATCATGCGTCCCATGGTCGTGCCTGCAGTGGTGTTTGCCCGTGCTCGATACGAGCGGCAGAATGATCCTTCGTCTATAAACTAAATAATGCTCTCCAAACCAGCATTCCCAAAGATAAAACCAATAGTAGAATGAAAAAAAGGGCCGTCGACATGGAAGCCAGAGCCGCGGGCGGATGGTGGATACCCAGGGGCCTCTATTACTGGCACATGTTGTCTCCTTGCTCTGCGTAAAAATACAGGCATTTGTTTTCTAAGTCCTTCAAGCTGGGGCTCATGACTGCTCTCGGGGCACACTTCTGTGTTGGGCTGACCTGCTGCATATGCTTGCTGTTGAGAAACGACATGTTGAACTCGCTGTTGAGCCTGGCCTCGATCTGGAGCAACTTCGAGTCGATTTGGCTCAACGACGAGTCGCGCTGGAGATTCAAGTTCTCAATGTCGTGGCCCGAGCACCAGCCGGAGCTGACGAGCCTGTTCTTGGACACCTCGTAGGCCAGCTCCACGGATTTCTTGTGCAGGCTCAAGTAGACCAGGTACTCCATCAAGTCCTCGGGCGTGCTCAAGATGGCGAGCTTGTCGGGCACGTCGGGGTCCGCGTCGTGCGGCGTGGCCACCAGTGCCTGCGACGCCGTGTCGGCACCGCCAGCGCCCCAGTTGTCGAAGAAGCTTTGCTCGACCGAGGCCATGTTTTTCTTCGTCGACGACAAGTCTACGGAAAGCGTCACCACCGGCAGCGGGAGCGGCGTTGTGGCGGCCGCGAGCGAGCCCGCGGCGGACGCCGTGCGGCGGCGCGGCTTGGACCCCGAGCCCCCCAGCCCGACGCTGGATGTGTGTGTGTGACCTTGGGGCACGTTCCCGCCGGCAGAAGACTGCGTGGCGCATGCGCTGAACACCAGCCGCATGCTGTCGCCCGCCGAGCCCAGCAGGGCAGTGTCCTGCAGCAGCAGCCGCTCGCTGTGGCTGGGCAGATGTAGAGGGCGCGAGACGGGCGGCGAGAGGTCGAGCGGCGGCGTGGCCGTCTGCGTGAGCGAAGCCACGCGCGAGAATGAGAGCTTGCGAATGCCGTTTTTAAGGCTTTTGAGCCGGCGCAACGGCGACGTGCTGGGCGGCGCAGGCGCCGGCGGCAAGCTGGGCGTGCCGAGGGGCGGCACGAGCACGGGCGCCTGAGCCTCGACGGACGGGAACGCGATCGGCGGCGTGTCGATCGACAAGGCCAGCGAGTCCAACGCGTACAGCTGCGGGACGAAGTAGATGTTCTCGCCGGGCGGCGGCGGCCCGGGCGTCGACGCGGAAGGCGTCAAGTCGGCCGGCGTGGAGGAGCCGGCCGACGAGAGCCCGCCAAGACTAGGCCTGTGGGCGTCCGAGAGCTGGCCGCTTTCGGGGAGCGGCGGCAAAAGCGTCTCGTCGGTGGTGTAGGGGGCGTGCGAGGGAGCGTCTGTTTGCGAGCCCGAGGCGGCGGACAGATCCGCCGAGGATGCTCGTAGCTCGGGCAGTCCGGCGTCTTCAAGGACCATGCCCAAGGCAGACATCTGACTTTATGCGGGTGTGTGTTTGTGACAAAGGGTCGGGCGGCGTGAGAAAGGCCCGGATTATGTATGGCGTGGTAGATATGCCCCTGGTATGTATGGCCGTGGTGTGTGTGTGGGGCCTGAGTCTATGACACTGTCTTTGTGTTTGTGTCCCGACGCGAGGGCAGGGATCGGATCGTGGCGGCCGCTGGAAGTGTGCAACACGTGGATATCCCTTGTTTCAAATTTCGGGTGGGCGGGATCAAGCTGGTGGCGGGAGGCCTGTTGCAGAATTTCCCACGTTGGCACAAAGCGCTTGAGGCCGAAAGTCCAGGTGTAGTCCGCGGCGGATCAAAAAGATGTTTGTACCAGCGGGTAAAGACGTGGCGAGCAGAAAAAAAAAGGGAATGAGATTCCTGAAATGAGGCGGGGCAGGATTCAGCGGGCTGTGCGAGGCGGGCGGCACTTGGCAAGCGATGCTGCAAAATATTAGGAAACGGGAAAGGAAACAGGCGTCACAAGGAAGAAAAGAAGGGGGGTTGGAAGCCACCGGGATGGATGTGGGTTTTTTTCCCCCAGGCTGGCCCAAATCGGACTGGGGCAAATCTGGCCGGAGTTTGGCTCGACAGAAGAAACGTCGATGAGGCATGCGCCGTGCAGGATACACATGCAGCATTGGCCCCTGTGCGCGCTCGCCTGCGTTGGGCCGCGGTGGGGGAGTGCATGGAGGTAGTTTGCGCGTGGGCGTCCTGTGTGGCACCCACACCATGTCGGACCACCGTGTCGCGGGCATGCACCCGGCCGCTATGATACTCCTCGCTTATCCTGAGACACAGTCATTGGCCAAAAGGGGACGGGCCGTTTCCTTGGCAAAAAGTGACAGTGTTGCCTAATCACAGGAAAGTTGTGCCCGAATCCGGGTCCGTGTGCAGCTGCAACCCAGTGCCTGCTTCAGATATGAATGGTGCCCGTACCCGCACATCCGAGGCATGAGGCTCGGCTCAGCCTTCAACGGTGTTATGTAGGGCCCGCGCAGATGTATACCGCGGGTCGCCACATAAGCAGGTGCGTGACGCACTGCGTCGGATATGTCAGCGGGACGTGCGGGCTCTCCTTTTCATTGGCGCTGGCTGGATCTGGACTATTGCCTGGGAGTGACAGGGGCACCAAGTTGCCTAGTCCCGCAATTCGCGCCCTGCCTACCCCACCTGTGTGTTTCATGGTGCGTTCATATTACAAACGTGGCCAGATGTTGAGCCCGCGCTGTCCCTCGCTGTTGCATGCGATTGTGCCGTCGAATCTGGCCATTGTGTCGTACGATATGCCCTTTTGGACCAGGGCACACTTCGCGCGATGAAACAAGGCTTGCGCCACAACAATATTAGGGCCCGGCGGCAGATTTCTACAATCGGGGTCTCAAACACCAGACGTCCCACTTTGTCTTTTTATGTCCGGAATTGAATTGAGAAATGTAGCCTTCTTTTGGTGGTGAGTTGTTTCGAGAAAGCAGTTGGACGCTGTTGAGAAGCGGCTTGGCAGGCGGGGCAAGTCGGGTGATATTGGTCAGGAAAATTGAGACATGGTCAGCAATGTGAGGCACCTAGGTTCTGGACATTGGGTATCTAGATCTGGGTCTTGGACACCGACGTCCTCGAAACTGGGTCTTGGACACCGAATTTATAGATACTGAGATTCCAGATACGAAGCTTGAGTGTACTACTGGGTTGGCAGGCGCTGGTATAACAGACTGGTATTCCGGACCGAAATTCCTGAGCGATACCCCTGAATAAAAATCCACACTGGTATTGTAGAGTGATATTCCAGACTGATATCCTACACTGATATTCTAGACTGATATTCCAGACTGATATTCAGACTGATATTCCATACTGATATTCCAGACTGATGTTCCAGAGTGAGGTTCCACACTCACATCTTCCTCGCCTGGGTGGATGAGCTGGACGCAATTGGGCTACTCGTCGGACTAGTCGTCTGCCCCTCCTTGTCGGTCCAATTTGCAAACGCACTTTAGATCGGGCCAAGCAGAATCGCCCCATATCCTGTGAAAGGGACGCTGGTGCAGCGGCCTGCTTCACTGGCTCCAAATCCCGCATATGTTTATGTATGCCCAACTTACAAGGCGCCTTCCCCCCGCGTAAGACCGCCCTGCCTCCACCCTCGGACCACTGGAGGCAGGTTTAGCTCCAAAGCTCTCGCAGACATGCAGCTGTGCACACCATTCCGGTACACTTGTCCTGGTACTGCTGTCGCATTCAGCAGCCTAAGCACCCGAACGCCAAATCACTGATGGAAATAATGCACGGCTCGAGTGTGCATGCCTCGGGTGCGAGATATTCCCGCACACAACAAGACACGTCGCTATAGACTATATTCATTTCTTTTTCTTTTATTCTCCACAACTCTATGTTTTGTTTGCAGACGCCTCACAGGATGCGCCGAGAAAACGCCAGCAGAAATGCCCACCCGATTCTAGCCCTGGGTGGTTGTGTAGAACTGGCTTTTCTTCCAAGTTGCCCTGTTCAGTGAAATGGCGAATACTCGAATCTAGGCCCTAGGTCGCGCAGATTGGATGCTGTAGTGCACATAAGTATCATGCCGGTGCGGTTTTGTTTGTGCTTCCGCTTTGGGCGGCTTTGTTTGGCTACTGTTTTAAGGCAGCCAATTGATTCTCCCGAAGAGGGAAAAGTCGAAGGGATCGGATATTGACGAGCAAATGATGAAGATGAGGGGAACGCGTACGGCTGATTTGCGGGGAGCCTTCCCAAGATTAAGCCTTTCTCGATTTCTACTATGCTTACTAAAACGCGGCTGAGGTCGATCGGTGCGACGTGGTTTGTGGCGGACACATGCATTCTGTGTGCTGATTGGCTGACTCCGCAACGGCAAACCTTGTGTTTAAATTTTCTGGTTTCTGCAAAGACTAATATCCCTTTAAGTTTCATTATCACTAGGCATTGTCTGCCTCAAAAAGCACTCGTTAATTTGTGACCATGTATTTTACAAGTAGAATCAATGTATGGCCTTATTGCCCTATGTCACTGCTGTATGCAAGTTGGGTCTAGATGCCGTTTGGCCCCGTGGTGCGAGGACGATGCTCCGTAATGTCCCTTCATGTTGCCACCGCATGTAAGCCACAATGAGGCTTTTTTTCTCGCTCTTTTATTGAAAAGGCCTCAAAAACTAAACCACTGAGAAACATAGTCTCGCAGGCCAAGAAACTTGTCCTTCATCAAAGCCAAAGCAGTAAGTTTTGCAAGCAAAGATAAGGACTAAAACAGAAACGTGTATGTAAACTCTTGTTCTATCGAACAATGCAAAATTCCCATACATTTGTACCAAGCAAATCAAGATTGTACCATAATAGGTGTCCCGTTTACTACCACCTCTTTCTGGATTCTTTCACTCAGTGGAAAGGATCTTAGGATTCAATGAAATGTAAATATCCACGTTGTTTAGAAGGTGACCTGGTAGAACTGTGATGTTGAGAATTTCTCACTACGTAGATGAAAGGATCATAGACGCGAAAGTCCGTGGTCTGGCGAATCCGGAGTTGCTTAGACGTCCTGGGTTGAAGCAAACAGAAATTGCTTTGAAATTGATTTAATATCAGGAAAATGCTCTTTGTGCTTTTTTTAACTCTTTTCTACATTCCACCTGCTTTAATGAATTGTTTTCTATTTTTGCTTCTAGTTTTCTTTTTTTCTTTTTGCGAGAGGTTCAATTTTTTTGTTCAGCTTTACATTTTTCCAGTCAGCGCGCACCAAGAAATATCGATCACAACTTTTTTTTACATGGAAGACCCATACAATACGAGCAGGCTCTTTGGGTGTTCAAAAAGTTGGAGTGTTTGTATATTCTCTTATTGTGAGCTTATTATCAACTTCAGATATCCTTCATGTTTGATATTATTGTAAATTGTCTACATTTCGTGCCATCATACTTTTATCATCAATTGTATCGTGGACTTTCCAAGAGTACCACTTGTTGATCTTGGAATCCGAGATGTTTTCCAGTAGTATACGATCCAATATACTGTACTCTTATTGGTGATATTGGCTTGTCACTTGCAGAAAGAAGCTGATGAATTGTGCAGTGTCTCCGTTGTGTACTTAATTGGAATTAATACACAGTATTAACGTTTATTCCGAAACCAGAAGCTGGTTCTCGATTCATGTCCTTCACTGGGCTCATACAAGATTGATCGCTCAAGCTTTACTATATAAACGAATAACAAGCATGGGTACTCATGTTGTAGTGCCGCAGAGACTTGATGAGGATACTTTCTGTGACTTACCGCTACTTGAGCGTATTCACCGAAGACTGCAGTAGCCAATTATTCGAATTGTTTATGTCATCCGAATACTTGTCGACAGGATCCAAGAACAAATTCATGGGTTTGTAAGACAGGAGCACTTTCTTTTCACCAATATTTGGATTTTTGGATATTTGCTTTAAGAGACTTTAGGTGTGGCATCATTGACGCCCCCTCACCTTATACTTTTGGTGAATACATCTGATTATAAAAACAACAATGAACTATTATGTAGAAACCTTTAAGCAGCTCCCAGATGGTCATTCTTGATAGAGTCCTTCTGTTTAAATTCATCTGATCAAAGGAACAAAATCATACAATAAGATATATAACGTACCTCGAGAGGCGTGCTTTTTTTGTGCATACTCTTGATACACGACACTTGATCTAAGCCAAATGACAAAGACATGGTTTTATAAAGAAGCATGTATTAAAGGATACTGCTGCCCGGAAACAGGGCAAAAAAAACTAGACACTATAGAAAACCAAATGTGTAGCACCCTTTTTCGGGTGCGGGAAACTCCTCATCGTTTCACGGGCCTGACGCCCCTAAAGAATCAGTACCCCGTCCACCGGGATCGGAACCCAAGTTTATTTGACTATGTGTAACATGTTAATGTTGAGCACCTTGACCATTCTCTTGGTAGATTCATCTGATTAAAGGGGCAAAACTATATAAATAATATATATAAAAAACATTCAAACAGCTCCCAGCTACGTACCAAGTGCCTTAGCTCGGCCCATCCCCTTCCGTTAGTCACGGCTTGGACGGTCCTCATGGCCCATATCTGTTTACGTATTGGATATTACGTCATCGACTACTAGGATAGGTCTCCTGGAGTAGTCGCTTCAACTCAGATGGTTGTAGCGGATTTAAGGAGCCCACTTCCTGCGACTCGCCACGCCTTCTGGTGTAGACCTTGAAAATCGTGGTGACGAATATGCCAGCGAGAACAAAGCAGCAACCCTTTGACACGATGTTGAACAATCAAGTCACTCTCGAAAGTTTGAAAGCCTGAGTCTAAGACTCCACGCAATAATCAAGATGGTGAACTGTATACAATATATCCAAATTAAGCTTTCATCAAACATAATCAGGGCGTGTGGCGCAGTTGGTAGCGCGTTCCCTTCGCATGGGAAAGGTCTTCGGTTCAAATCCGGACTCGTCCATTTTTTTCAAGATTCTGATGTCCTAATTTTTTTCGTTACGATATGACGGCTTGATATACAATGTGCGCTCTATGGTTGTGAATGAATATACTGGGCACTGATTAATGCTGAAAGCCAAATGTCGTAATTTTTCTAGAATGGCAAAAGCCTTCGGAACACATGCCGAGACAAGAATTAAAAGGCTACATGAGACGTTTGAATGATCCTTTAGAGAAGCTAATAGAGCGACATTGGCTCGGGATGGTATTTTGTCTTGGCCTCATCAAACCTCACAAGCCACGCGTATACTATTTGCAATCCGCCCTTTCCCTGAAACCAATGATATATAGCCAACCGGCGCATGTGGCTTTATTGTTCGGTTTTGTGAGGGGGATCTTTTTCCAGAAAGTAGTTGCACCAGATCCAGTGGCCTAATTTGCTTTTTTTTTTTCCAGAAACACGCGTCAGTTCCAACCTAAGAGGTGTATTCTCCCAATTCGGAAATAATCTGCCTGTTCCAGCATCACTTCAGATCCAACTGCTTTTGGAGAAACTCCCAGTAATGCTTTCGAATCGGATCGTACTTCGAAGAGAGAGATGCGTATATGCTATTGGCATCTTCCAATCTGTGCTCGAGAATTGCAATTTTGGCAAGAAACTCGAGAGCAAAAGAACTTGAAATGACTTCTTTCTCTGTGTCAGCGTATATGAGGCAAAAATCTTTGAGCTCCGTCAAATCTCTCCCTGTCTGGTTGTATATGCCGAGTAAGTAGTTCCACGTGGACGGATTCTGGGGACACAAGTCAATCTGCAGTTTGACAAGCTCGATTTCTTCAAGAAGTCTCTTCTCTGAGAGAACTGTGCCCTTGAATCTCAAGAAGTACCGATGTGTCCACGCACTGTTGTTTCTTACATCGGCATCAATGAGTTTCTGGGTGAACGCCAACTCAAGATCATCGTCGTGGAGAGAAAACCGCTCCACGAGCCATTTTCGATAAGACCACACATGGTGGTTTTTCGTGTCCTGTTGGAGCATGGTTTCCAAGATCGGGTACTCACGCCTATGGTGGAACTTGCGTGCCAACTCTGGATCCTTCAAGATTTGCTCGATGATCCGCTGGCGGTAGTTCCAAACCTGATAGTTTTTTTCGTTTTCCAAAGCAATCTCCTCGCACCAATTGAGCTCGTCAAGCAAGTCCTTCTTGAGGTTTATGACGATGTCAAATCTGTAGTGCCATGTCGTATAGTGAGAGGCGAGAAGATCCAAAGCTGTTTCTGTGAGTTTGAGCGCCTCCTCGGTATAGGCCTTTTTCTCCAAAAGGGAGCGGAGAGCGCTCATGGTGGAACTGTATTCATCCGAATATAGGATCTGGCAAAGTTCCGACATTTTCTATGAAGAGTAATCTTGTTAGACTGGATCTACGTGAACAATAGAGACGTGGTCTGTATGCCTGATCGTAGTAGAGCAGTGCGCAAGACGAAGGTGAGATCAGCTCGGTCTGCAAATGAGACCTCGGGAATTGAAGGAAAAACGAGCCGCGGGTACCAGCGTTTGAGGCGCGTTTCAGTTTAAAGTGCGTTTCAGCTGGCGTGACGGGCGACTTTACGTATTTATAGCCAAGGGCCGTGGGGACTGGTGTGCGGGCACTTGTTTCAGGGCGGCGCTAGAATTACTGGATGGGGCCATGGCAATCGCGAGGTTTCATCGGTGAGGCGACTTGAAACACGCCCCAGCCGTGCCAGCTGGATGAAGACCTACTGAGATTATCTGCACGAGTGGAGCAGCAGCTCTACTTCAATTTTTACTGAACAGGGGTTTTTTCCATTGTTGGGAGCTTGGCTGATACCTGCAGCATCGCCCTTCCTGTTTCTACAGGCAATATCTGATTACTTTGAATGTTCGGATCTTGCGTCTATGAAGAAAGCGACGAGGAAGCGAAAAAAACACGATGAAGAAGCGATGAAGAAACCCGGCTAAGCTGATAGTATATGTAATTCAAAATCATTCCTCATTATATTTTAATATAGCTTTATTAATTAGTATACTATGCCTATATGAATCACTTATTTCACATTAATTGAATGTCCTATATATATATATTTATTATTCTTATTTATTCATACATAAATACCACTTATACTATTAATGAACTTTAATATCTAAAATCGATTTTTTTATATGTTTGAAATTTAAAGTATATGAGTATATTTTTATATTGTTAATTAACTCACCATAGAAAGAGGTATACCAATTGAAGATAATAAATAAAGCAAGTAAGCAAGAATCGAGCTCGACTAACCATTCTTATAATTGATGTATAATGAGAATTCATTGATAATTTGAATTTACATAAATGACGAAGGGCCAAACAATTCTCTTTCTATATACATGATATGTTCTCCACTCACTTTGAAATTAGAACATTAATGACAATAAATAATCCAATAATAAGTATAACAAATTATGTAGTTTATTATCTTGAGGAAAAATAGAATCGAACTATCTCAGCACAAAGGCACTAAAGTTACAATTCAGTTCTACTTACCAACATTAGAATTTACCCTTTTGGTCAATAAAATAAAGAGATTAACGATAACAATATTTGAACAGGATAATACTGCGTGAGAGTAGGTATCGTCAGCAGTGTTTGCCACCTCGATTAAGTGACGATAGTCAAGAATAACTGAAGCTAATTGCATGAAACATATTTGCCCTCAAAAAATATGATATAAATCTCGTTCGTACTTGATGTTTAATGTTTGATGTTTATTGTCATAAAATTAAATCTTATTAAATTAATAGATAGTGAGTAGAATAACTCATGAAAGATATAATAAACAAAGTAGAAGTAAACGTAAAAGTAGAAGAAGCATATTTTCAATTCTTCGGGGGATGATCAAAATCATAAAGTGTTAGAATTAACTTATTATATAATAGTATACCTATTTTATACAAATATAAAGAAAAACATTATGATGTTTGGTGAAAACTTAAGGTACAGGCATAGCATATTAAGAGTGCCAAATATTTCAAGACAAGATATTAACGTAATGTGATATAATGTGATATATAATGTAAAATAAAACAAAATGCAACTTATTTGAGATATTTAGTAAAATTTTTGACTAGGAAATCATATTAAATATGTTACAGATCTATTATTATTTATAACTCGGACCTTCATATGTGTAAAGAAGACGAGTTTTATTGGTTTCTTACCAATTGAGATACACTAGTACCCTTAGAACATGGTTCTTTTTTTACGATGTTTTTATACTTTACTTACCATTTAATTTTACGGACTCCATTTTAAAAATGAATATGATAAACGTTTTCAATACCATTAGCGTTTAGATTCTCAATGTATAATGGCCGCCCTCTGGCAGGGGAGTTTACTTAATCTTACATTTGGAGGTATATTTAGATTATTATTATACAAGTAGATAAACAGCTTTATGTATTTAAATAAAACTTATCTTATAGTGGTTTTATAATACATAAATTACAAAGTTGTATGATAAAAAATTATCATAGAAGTTAAATTAGTTTTATTGTAAAAGAAGTGGTATCCACCATTATCATCAATAAATGTACATTCCGGAGGTGATTCTTTTCTACTATAAGTATATGTATAACAAATAGTGAGAGAAGTAAAAGATTCAAGAAGAAAGCGGTGAAGAAATCCTAGAAGAAATCCTAGAAGAAAGAGATGAAGAAAGCCTAGAAGAAAGCGGTGAAGAAGGCAAAGAAAGCCTAGAAGAAAGCCTAGAAGAAAACGATGAATAAAGCCTGGAAGAAAGCGGCGAAGAAGGCAAAGAAAGCCTAGAAGAAAGCCTAGAAGAAAGCTGTAAAGAACACATAGAACAAAGCGTCCCTCCCGAGCTTTATACTGGCAAACAGCGGCGATACCTGCTGCGAGCACTTGAACAGACCAGCGACCCGGGTCTTTTTTGCCCCCTGTAGATACTCACGCCCAAAAAAGGGCGCTTCCCAAAACCCGCCACATCGTTTGCCCAAAATAAAAGCATGGCCCGTTCGCCGGACGGCCCTCTTGTTATTAGGCCCCGCACCCGGGCCTCGAGATACACCGCATGTGGCCTTCGGCATCTATCCGGTCTTGGGCCGGGCGGTTTCCACCAGCCCCAGAAAACAGCCTGTCCGGCCCATTTGCACCGGCAGTTTTTTTTTTTTTCACCCAAAAACAGGCTCTAGTGCTGATTCGGTCAATTAATTAGCGCATTAATTAGCGCTCGCCAGTTCCACCAGGCTCGCGCGCCGCAGACCAGCCATAACCACCATGCACTGACTGCGAAATGAGCCCTCTGCACCGTTTCTCGCCCCGGTTTCTTCCCCAGCCGTGAGCCAGATTCCACAAAAGTGCGATGGAATCCCCGCTCCCCGACTCGACGCTCGTATACCTCTCGCTCTCGTTGGCCGTGGCAGTCCATCTAGTTGTTGGGCTCGTGAGCGCACCCGGCTCGAACCTCCCATTGTTGGCCAGTACGTTCATTTTTTGCAACATGCTCTCGCGCACAGCGACGGTCCAGGGCCTTGCGAGGTGGGCCGTGCTGCTGGCCGCGAGCCAGACGCGGCACTTCGGTCTTTTCCGGGCCCCGACCCCGGCGCCCGGCGCCGAAAACAGCCGCTTTTCGGCTTTGGCCCCGCTGTCCCAGACCGAGCTTGTAGAGGCGCTCGTGTCGCTCCGGGAATACGGCAAAAACTCGCGCCAGGCAAGCGTCCGCCGGCGCCGCTTGTACAAGATGATGTCGTGGCGCCAGCAGAGGCTCTGCGACGAGGCCGGGTACCTGGAGAAACTCCGGCAGATCGACGTTCACATCGACCGGAACCAGGCCTTTTTCAGCGCCATCGTCACCGCCACCGAGAACGCGTACGGGCTTGGGCACGAGCACTATGACGCGTGGCGCTCACGAGGCAGGACCGCGTCGCAAAATACGTCCTCCTCCAACTACCGAGTGGTGGAGGCCCTCGGCCATTTTGTGCGGGACTGGGCATCCTCGGGAGAGGAGGAAACCGCGCCCATGTTGCAGTACATCAAGCGCCAGCTCGAAGCGGCCATCCGCCCCGAAGACGCCGCCCGAACTTGCGTTGTTGTTCCCGGCTCCGGCTTGGGCCGCGTGGCACACGAGGTGGCCAGGCACAGGGACTACGGCGCGGTCCACGCGGTGGAGTTCAGTGGGCTCATGCACGCGTGCCACCGGAGCATCTACGAGCCGTCGCTGGCGACAGAACACCGGCTTTTTCCGCACATCCACAGCACTTCCAACAGCGTGAACCCGCAGGCACACTTGCGTGCGTGCGAGGTGCCGGCCGGCGTGGCGCGGCCGCCCAACTTGCACCTTCACCTCGAGGACTTCCGCCACTTTGCCGTGCCCGGGCGCGAGGAGTACGACCACGTGGTGGTGGTGTCGGCGTTTTTCATCGACACGGCCGAGAACATCCTCGACTTCTTCGACCAGATCCTCCAGCTCGCGGCGCCGGCCAAAACAACAGGGCCCCGCAACGGCTTCTGGATCAACTACGGGCCGCTCAAGTACGGCAGCGCTGCGCAGGCGGAGTTGAGCGCCGCGGAAATCGCCCACGTGCGGCAGAACATGGGCTGGGTCGATCGACACTATCTCAACACCGTCGAGGACCCAGCGGCGGAGTTTGCCGCAAGCAGTCTTGCCGGGAGCGGTCTTGCGGGGTACATCACCGACAAGCAGAGCATGTGGCAGGGATACTATGGGATCTCGATGTGGACAAGCGGGCACAAGGCGAACCGGGACGGGCCCGCAGGCAAGGACGGGCTCAAGGCGGCGAAGCGGGAGTAGTGGGCGTACGCCGTGGCTTCAGGCCCCACCTGCCCCATGGCGACAGTGCTTGTTCATTCTGACGTGGCATGTGTTGGTGAACCCCATGCGGGTACTCGCAACGCAGTCTTTCGGATGTAGCAGGGAACCGTGCGGCCGGCGGATATGAGCAAAAACATGCGTTCCGTCTGGAGTGCCGAGCCTCGCGGCTCCTGCTTTCAGCTCCCAGCCGACAGGACTAGAGACGGAGTCAACGGCAGGGTGGACGATTCATCCGAAATATGACCATGGCGAAATAGCTATACGCAATTAGTTCACACCAAGTTGTTTGAAGGGTCCAAGTTCCGGTTATATGAAAGATGAAAAGGTGTAAAGAAAGGGAATGGCATTAATATTATATAATAACAAATCCAAGTTTAAAAAGACTACAGAAACCGTTGTATTATTATCAAGTGGATTGACAGCGTTACCAACAATAGATGATCGACAGAGATAGATGTATATTATACAACGGATGGTATGGCAGATATACTGTAATATTAGCAGCGTATTCAATACCGTTATCAATGATATCAAACTTAAATACAATAAATAATATTATGTATTGAATTTAGGAGTAATATTGTTATTGAATTATATGTCAAGACATGGCATTATATATGTATTTTGAAGGGTCACTAGCGCCATTACTTATAATGGTATGTGTGCATGAAGCATCAAATAAAGATAAAACAAGAGATTATGTATGAATATATAAATTTTTTTCATCATTATGTATGTTTTTAGATGTAGCGTTATATGATGTATATTTAGATAATGCAGATTATCAAGCTACAAGGTTATTGGTACTATCGATGAAAGTGGCGCCTGTGAGCTGGTGCACATTTTCAAAGAGCTCGGTGGTGGTGTCGTCGCTAGGCTCATCCGGGGATTAGTTGAGTGCAAACTTCTTGAAAAGCTGCTGTACGAGGTTGTCTCTCCGGTAGTTGAACCGCGACATAGACGCTTCAATAACAGACTTGCATAGTTCTATGTTCTGGTTCTCAGAGACCGACACAAGCCCGGAGATCTGCGGGATGATCTCGTCTAGGATGTACTAAACCTCGCCGGGCTTGAGCTTAACCATCGACGCCTTATTGATGCAGGCTCCGGTGGTGGCACGCTTGGCCAACTTCAACACCCGGGCCTTCATGGAGAGCTTGTGCAATCTCTCGATGTACTTCATTCGGGCACCGTCGTTTTTGATGATCGCCTCGAGAAAGTGCGAGCCCACGCTTTCAGACAAAAGATATTCGACAAAGGCCTTTGACAATGTTATTTCTAGCCATCTATAGATAGCAGTTGAAACACCATGGGCACCAGCACATACTTGATTACCAGTAGTACATTCAGAACCACCATTAGCGGATCTGTATCATTGGCAGGTGTATTATCAAAACCAGCAATAGATGCTACAATACGGTTAATATCACCAACATTATCAGATGCTGTAGTATTATAGCCATTAGTATACGTGATATGTGCTATAACAATGATATATACATCTATAACATTAGGATAAACGGCTTTAGAAGTTATGATAGCTTATAGTTCAATTTCACGTATGGCTTTATTTATATTAGGTATATTTTCTATTAATTATATTTGGTAGTTTGATTTATGTATTGCTCATGGTTTTGTTTCCTGGTTTATTTGTTATTGTTGGTGGCTTCAATATGATAGATACAAGGGACCTCACAGCAATATTATTATCAAGGTTTAAGAAGTTATTTGCCTTATTCTCTTTACCTTATTATAACAAGTGTTTGTAATATGGGTACTTCTTTATCTATTAATCTTATTGGTGACTTATCTTTAACTGGTGCTATGTCTTGTTCATCTTTCTCATGTGCTTTAGCTGCTTTCTCTGTTTTATTATCTGCTTCATTCAGAATCCATGGTAGAAGCAGCGCCAGTTGCTTGCATTTGGGAGTTGGATACAAATAGGCCAAGGACAGAACCATGTAAGGGGGGTCTGGGCATGAGTCGGAAGCGAGTGGTGTTCTGCCTCGAATATCAATGTCACCTTGCAAGCATGGAAAGCTCGGCTTTGCTGGATGTATGTAGCCTGAGTGTGTATAGCAGGTAGTGGACGTTGGGGACTCCGACCGACGCCAGGGTCTTCCGAGCAAGTCCCGGGGCAGCGATCAGACGCAAAGCAGCCAGATGAAGAGGGCCAGATGCAAAGCAGCCCAATAAAAAGCAGCCCGATACAGCAGCCAGATGAAAACGGCCCGATGAAAACGGCCCGATAAAAAACAGCCCGATACTAAAAAGACACAGCCAGCATGCCGTCTAGACATGCCCCAGCAATGGCACACAGGCTCCCGGCAGATACAGCCAGACAGCCACCAGGCAGCGCTACATCGGCCAGGCAAGCATTCTCCGGTCGGCTTTCTATGTACTCTCTGCTACATACACTGCTACTTCTGCGTGGACGGGTTGCTGTTGATCTGGACCTTCTTGTCCTCCCCGCCACTGACAATCCCAATCTCCCGGTCCCACGAGACGCCAAACACCTTGCCCGTCCGCGACTCCCGCGTGATGGTGTACATGGCCCTGTCTGCCCGCACGTCCCACACCTTGACCGTGCCGTCGTGCGAGGCCGAGGCAAACATGGTGTCGTTCGTCGGGCACGCGGCCAAGTCCACCACGAAGTTCGTGTGGCCAAGGAGCTTGGTCACGCCCTTCTCCGTGGCGCCGGCCTGCGTCCGGGGGTCGTGCAAGTTGATGTGCCGCGCGGACGAGCCCGAGGCTATCAAGCCGACGCCCGGGAGCTGCAACACGGAGAGCAACGCGTAGCCCGTGCTGCGCGTGTCGACGCAGCGCGACGTGACCAAGTCCCACGTCTTGATCGTGTGGTCCTGCGACACCGAGTAGCCCACCAGGCTGTCGCGGGAGTCGAACACCACGCCCTCCACGGGCTGCGTGTGGCTCTCGAGAAGCGCCAACGGCGCGCGGTGCTTGACGCCCGAGTCCTTGAGCGCCATCCGTCTTCGTTTCTTCAGCGCCGACGACGCGCCCGCGCCCGACGCGTCCACGGCGTACGGCTCCACGACGTTCATCTCCTTGGGCACCGTGGACCAGAACCCGACCACTCCGTCGCTGCCTGCAGACAAGAGCCGGTGGGACGCCACGCTGACGTCAAGGGCCACCACGGGCGCCTTGTGGGCGTCGAGAATGACCAACGTGCGGCCGCTTTGCGCGTCCTTGTCGTCCTTGTCGTCCTTGTCGTCGTCGTCGTCCACCAAGCCCACGCCCTCCGCGGCTGCGGTCTTCCACAACCGCACCTGCCTGTCGTTGCCGGCGGACACGATGCGGTTGGCGTAGACCCACTGCACGGCGCGCACGGGGGCCAGGTGGCCCACGTATTGCGTCTCCACCAGGCCGGACATGTTGTAGGTGCGCACGACTCCGTCGTAGGAGCCGGCCAAGATCTGCGGCGAGGCCAAGCTGGCGCCGCGCTGGGCGGCCACGGCCGGCGACGCGTGGTTGATGGTGGCTATGCTGGAGACCCAGTCGTCGTCGTTGTAGGAGGCCAAAAACGAAGGGGGAAGCACGGCACGGGTGTACTCGATCTGGAGCGTGGCCTCGGCAGACAAGCCGTTCTTGGTCAAGTACTCGTCCAAGGACGAGCGCAACAACACGCCGTCGATCAAGAAGTCGAAGGGCACGGGCTCTTCTTTTTCCAAGAGATGGTTGACCACCTCGGACAACCCGTACCTCTTCAAGGACGTGGGCACGAACAACGGGGCGTCGGACGCGCGGAGCGTCTCGTCGTCCTCCTTTGTGAAAAAGCGGGCTTTCACCTGGGCCTCGGACATTGTGCGTGGCGAATAGAGAGTGGGTGTGTGGCGACTTTCGGTATGGGCTGGGAGGGCCAAGCTTGAGATGGCCTGGCGATGCGATGCGATGCGGGCGAAAAAGTCTTGTATGGAAGCGGCGCCGCAGTGCGGGCGGAAGGCCCTGGGCGGGCCCGAGAAGTGAGCTGCGGCCGGGGCCCATTTTCTGCGTGCGCTTGGGGTTCTGCTTGGAATTGGGTGTCTGCTTGGAATTGATTGTCTGCTTGGAATTGGGTGTCTGCTTGGAATTGATTTTTTGTGCTTGATTTTCTGCTTGGAATTGATTTTTTGTGCTTGATTGTCTGCTTGAAATTGATTGTCTGCTTGGAATTGGGTGTCTGCTTGGAATT